AAAATTGAGAACCATCGAGATAGGAGAAAGTTGGCTTTAGTAACATAGGTTTCCAGGTTCACAAGAAGACCCCCAAACCCAACTGGTACGCGGATGGAGTAAAGCTTGATTTCCCCACCCCTATCCCAGGGAAAGTGGGTTTGATTCATGACCGTTTAGTAAGTAGCACCATCATCATCGGAAATCACTCCAAATTCACGTCAATACAAGACCCGAATCAGAACCAGTATTTTCTGCACCTGTTGCATTCATTTATGCAAAATTGCCTATTGCACTCACATGACTGCTCTCAAGGAGGGACGAGCAGCTTCCTCCTCATTACCCAGTAGGAACAGGACAGATTGCAAAGCAAGCAGTGTCTAGCATGACGGTCACCTCCTGGAAGCCACCGTGCCCAGCTGGGGATTGCATGCCTACATCCTGCTAGCCCGTACTGCTGAGGATAGTGCTTTCCGCCGTGAACCATCTATCAAAGTCACTGGCCCCATGCTCCTAATCAAAGTGAAGCTAAACAGCCCCTTATGCTGCAAGTAAACCCATTGACAGTATGTGCAGAGATGAGCAAGAGCAACAGAAAGTGGCCTGGTGGCATGAAATGTCTCGGTTTAGTTATGTTTGCAGGACAGGACACTTAGAGCATCCTCTATCTCCCATGGAAAAGACACCCTTAGACTTCAAGAGGTGCTGCACAAGGCCTTCGGGATATAAAATCTCTCGAGCCACAATGCAAGAGCCACTCACTGACATATTGCCTGGGGCTGCGACTCGCGGTAGCATTTTCTCAGTCTGGACCACGAGCAGGACATCTTCTCAGCTGCACGAAGCACTTTGAAAGTGTTTTTGTTGCCCTACAGCAGGGATGGCGCTTTCTTCGCCATTAAATTCCACAGGACTTTCCTGGGAAGTCCACACAGATTGCAAAGAAGCAGAAATGCATGGGAACGACCCTCGGGGCACCTGCTCTGCAGAGAGCTGGGAGCACGGTGCCCGGGGGCCCACGAATTCCCCACAGGCTCCACCGTGGGCTCAGGGTCTGCTTGCGGTGGTCTTGAACCATGCACACTGCCCCTGGAGGATACCCTAACACCGCCCCCCCACCCTCCCTCATGGGCGATACCCTCCCCACACATACCCACACACCCCATGGGGGATACCCTACACACACACCCCTCTCACACACACACACAGAGCCATTGAGGGATACCCTACACACCCACAGAGCCCAGAGGGAATACCCTACATACACCTACCATAGGAGATACCCTACACATCTCACAGAGGTTACCCTACCACACATACATGAACACATATAAACACACACAGAGCCATTGGGGATTACCCTACACACCCACAGAGACTAAAGGGGATACCCTATACACACAAACACCACGGTGAATACCCTACACACCCACACACAGAGCCCATGGGGAATCCCCTACTCTGTACACACACACACACACACACACACACACACACACATGCACACAGTGCACAGAGGTTACCCTACCACACATACATGAAGTGCACAGCTCATGGGGGATAATCCACACACACATGCACCCCTTCAAATCCCACCTTAAAGATCCCGTCCAGAGACGACAGGCCGGTCATCTGCTTTCCCGAGTGGGGTAGCCGTACGTTCACAAACCAGCCTGCGCCCCCACCACTCCTGCTATGCCCACTTTGCAAACAAGGCCATGGACGCAGCATTTCAACCAACTTCCAGCCATGCCGTGTGCCATTGGCTTCGGTGATTTATCCCGCAGACGGGGGCTGATGCTACCCTCCGTGATGCAAGCACAGCACATGGAAACCACCAAACCCCACAGCTATAGGCAAGAGACTACCCGACCTTGCAGAGCCCCTGCCCTCCTGCTCACAGTCGCACCACTACGCCTGGGAGCCAGGCTCACGTATGGAAACGGCTCCCCCTGCAACACACAGAAACGCTCTTTTGAACTGACACGACACCAGCATTTGGTTTCTCTCCCCGTTCCTCGTCCAGGCATACGCCTATGAATTTGGAAGTTACCCGCCACACAGCACACGGTGCCGTCACTCGGAAGGATGCATTTAGGTAACCGCTCCATAACAACCGCAACCCTAGGCAATCTTAACACAACGTGGGAAGGACCAGACACAGGGTGCGATGCTATAGCTGGGAGGGAAGAACAGATCAAGGTAACCGAGTCCTGCTTTCCATTAGCAAGAGCTATTTGAAGGCCAGCCAGGCTGGTTCTCCCTTCTCTCCCCCTTCCCCGTGCTATTAGCTTGCATTAGGCATAATATTATAGCACATTAAGGAGGTCAATATAGCTACGAGCTCCCACAAAAGAATCAGAGCTGAAAGAACGATCAATTGATTTCAACTTTCGGGCTGCCAGCACCAGGCAGAGAAATGACCGCACATTGCATTCATCCCAGGAGAGAGTTCATTTAAACTGGCAGCTCCTGACACTCTTTGTTAAGGACCCTCTTTCTTAAGAGTAAGGCAACGTCTCTCTCGCTCCCGCTGCTCAGTTCTCGAAACACCACGTCGCTCCGTAGACTGCAAGCGCAACTGCGGCTGCTTTGAAGCCTGGTGGGAGTTTTCTGTGCCTTGCATGAATCTTCAGATCCCAGCAGTCCCCAGGGCGCAGAAGCCTGCTTTAGCATCCTCAAAGGCTCACCTCTACTTCTGTCTGCGGCACGGCAGAGCAGACTCCCTTGCCGCCTGGACGCCATACGCAGCCGGAGGTGTCACTAGCAGCGAAGGACCAGAGACCAGAATCGGGACTACAGCTTTGTATCGAAGACAGCGATTCTCAACCAGGGTGTCAAGGTACCCTGGAGGGCCTGGAAATCTTTCCAAGGGTGTCTAATATTATTATCAGGGTTAAGTGTGCCAACAGGTTTCACCAAAAAATCCCCGAGATTGCAAACAAGAATGCAAAAACACTCTGCCCTGCCATGGTCCTTCTGGCTTCTTTGCAACAGAAGAATTGCTCTAGTTGTTTTCTATAGTGAAAAAACACAAGACTAGGCATTTGCTGAGGGCCTCTTGAGTTTCAAGGGATGCCTTGAGTCCAACATGGTCGATAACCACTGATCTAAGGGATCGGTGCTGTCCAGAAATGGTTATGATGGGAACAAAAAGCTGGGGAGAATCGGTGCCTCTGCACCGCAGTCGGTAGAGTCATGCCAGCTCTCATCCCCAGCTGAGAGTTTTGCCCAGAATATTCTCCTTGCCAGTCAGTAGCGGGCAAGTGGAGCTGGCCACAGGGAAAGCCAGTGCAGCTAACCTCTGCATTGCTGGCTGCCTGGCCGGGCAGTAGGGCGGTGCAAAATTTCACCCGGTGTTTCATTTTGAAGCTATTTCGATGCGTTTGGAGCTCAAAACAGCAAAATTAAAATGAAACAAAAGCCTTCAAAAACGCTTCGAAACGAAACAAGGGAACTCGAAACGTTTCAAAAGTTTCGGCGCCAGTCCCAGCTGGCAGCACCCGGCTCCTGTCATCAAGCAGGCAGATCGGGGGCTCCCCACACCCCCAGGAGGGCTGTGGGGGCTGTGCCGGAGTCCGAGCCCCTGATCTGCCTGCCAGAGAGAAGCTGGGTGCTGCTGCCTGCGACCAGCATGGGGAAGATCGGTGCGCCACCGGTCCCAGGAGTGCCAGAGTCCTCCCGGGGGTGCGTGTCCCCGATCTGCATGCGGGATGACAGGAGCCGGGTGCTGCTGCCTGGGGTCAGCGACAGTAGCGATCTTCCCCGAGCAAGTCCCAGGTGGCAGCACCTGGTTTCTCTCATTTGGCAGGCAGATTGGGGGCCCGCACCCCTGGGAGGACTCAGGCACAGCCCCCACAGCCCTCCCGGGGGTGCGGCCGAGACCCCAATCTACCTGCCTGTTGCATTTTACGATTCCCCATTATACCCTATGGGCAAAACACTGAAACAGCACCAAAACAGCAAAACAGTTTCGAGGAAATGAAACAGAACAGTGCTTTCTAAACTAAACGAAACTCTAAACGAAAGAGTCCCGTCGAATTGTCGAAATGGCAGTCGAATCAGAACAGTGCTGTTTTGCAGAGCCCCGTTACTGGGCAGAATCGCGAACCGATGCAGCCTGGCTCTCCAGCTTTGATATACAACCGCATTGCTCTTTGGGGCGTGTGAGTGCAAAGCCGCTCCACAGCTGCTGCAACCCATGAAGTAGGCCCAAGGGCTCTACCCGCCACCACACCACACAGCCGCTTCCACTGATCCAGAGAAATCTTTACCCACTTGTGCCCTCCCTTCCCAAACCACCACCAAGCAATAAATGCTGCTCGCTTAAGGGCCTGGCTCTTTAGTCCTCATGCTCCACTACCTTCCACCACCGTCAACAGGAATTGCACACTTGCCAAATGCCTGCAAAGGTGCCAGTCCTGCCGAGCCCATTTTGGCGACAGCAACCCCCAATGGGGCCAAAGGGACCAAGCGGAGCGTTTCAATGACAGGGGATGTTTTCTTTTATAAAAGGCGGATTCATTTATTGATTCGGTCCTCCCACTTGCAACCTCTTTAACAATCATAAAGATTTTCAGATCGCTAGAACGCAGACCAAGGACTCAATCCTGATCTCACACCGGTTCCGGTGGTGCTACACTGCGCATGTCATCATCTGCCGCTCCCCGTTTCCCTGGTAGGAGGTCAACAGTGAACCTCAAAGGGTCACCAAAAGTTTAGTCCAAAGATGCACAAAATGCAAGTAGCTGCACCAGCCCAGACAGCAGGTTGGTGCAATAACCCATCTCCGCCAAGCAGTAAAACCACTCAGGATGGAGATGCACACGGGGGGTTGCTGTCTCCACAGGGCTCGCCTCCGTATTAAAGGCATCTGGGACCCGTTTGGTTTTAGGCCGCTTTCTGTGACCAACAACCATCCTCAGCTGGGCAGGATTTGGTGCTGCTATATTAGACCATGACTTTCTCCAATGTAAGAGAGCCACCACCCTTCCCACACATTGCACCATGCCAAACAGAGCACTGCTGTAATTGGACTTGAGATAAACATATATTGATTACACATGGTCATTAAAAAAAAAAAAAAAAAGTAGTAATAATACATTTGCTAGAACATGACTTAAGATGCTTCCGAAAAGCATCCAAACTCACTCCACTTCCCTCCCTCCCTTCCCCCATAACTATACAGAATAAAGTGCTTCATTTATTTTGTTCACACGAGTAGACCCACCGATACACTCTTTTTTTTGTTTTTTTTCCTTTTTTTCTTTCTTTTTTTTTTTTTTTTTTTTTTTTTTAAACTTGGCATGTTTGGGCAACAGATACTGAATGCCATAAAATAATACACAGCCAAACGTCAGGCGTTAGAAACTACTTTGAGGCAAGTGGAGCGCTTGGATTTTGTTTGTCTCCTTCAAGTTCAATGCTACCACGGTGGGGTTTTTTGTTTTGTTTTTTTTTCAGTCCTAATCGCGCCGTCCCTCCGTGAATGACATGTCACTAGGCAGGGCCATGCCGCAACACTGCTTCTGTCCACGTGAGCCAAGGGTCCGTCTCTCGGCTCAGCTCCCAAACCAAGAGCATGATCAGTGGAGCTGCTAGCAGCCGAGGCCAATCTCTATTGCACTGTCACAGCCGTTTTCAACCCGTCGATCCGCTGTCTTCTTGCTGCGCTTCTGTTATGGCTGTTGTCCAAGGGGGCCAGCCCTGCTTCGTGAAGGCCGCGAGGCAAACTGGTCTGTGCTACCAGACTCCTGGGGAATTAAAAAAAACAAAAAAAAAAATCCCCTTTCCCAACGCAATGAAAGAAAAGCAGGGTGGAAAAACAGGGTGTGTAGGCACACGTGGGGACACGTGCGCATGGTTGCTTGCGGAAAGGTCATTTGCAGAATGTGCGTTAATGGCTAATGGAAATGAAGCCCCTCTCGGCGCTCTTGGTCAGCTGAAGAAGGGACGTGAGGGGGGTTAAGGTGCAAGAGTTAAAAAATAATAACGACAACAACAAAACGCTTGAACGCAATGGGCCCGTTCCCCTCCCCACCTGTCTAACTCCAAAGGCTTTGATGGGAGTTTGACCAGGGACGATGCCAATACATTTGGGGAACCGCTCCACTTCAGTTCTCAGTACGGTAACAAAACAGATCGATCCCTAGGACACATTTAGGCTTAATAAAGGTGTAGACAAAAGGGGTCGGAGACCGGGGGGTTCCTGGAAACGCATCTTGGGCCTGGCCTGGGGGCGCCGTCAGGTTCTCAAAGTGCTGTGTGCATGCCATGCTCTGCTGTCTCGAACCCGCTCTCTGGGCAGCCTCTTGCAGTGAATCTGCCCCGACTAATGGCTGTGAGCGGGGTTCATCCCTACACCTGCATCTCAGCCAGGCAGCTCCAAGCAGCTGAGATCTGCCTTTCGGTGATGCATTGGATAATAGCATGACTCCACTGGCTTTAGAGGGACGCCCCTGACTCAGTGCAGGGGCAGGCAGGAAGACTGGTTTTAGGGGAAGGATCATTTTCTTTGTCAGCTCCAGTGAATGGGAAGGAGTGGGCGTACTCTTGGGAAAAGGAGCCAGCCGAATGAATCTGGGGGGGAGCGAAGTTCTCTGTACAAAAGGAGGGGGAGTGAAGCTCTCGCGATGCTCTGCCAACCAGCCTCAACCCTAGACAGCATTGGGGAAAACAGGTGCCCATTCATACCTTGGCTTCTGCTTAGAGTTCCTATGAGGACTGGATACGATGGACAAGGGTGAAGGTGGGTTTGACACTTTAATAAGACCATCTACTGCACAGACCACCACCCAGCCATCCTCTGATGGTAACGTCTGCCACAGTAGCATGGATTGGGTTCTTACCAATAAACCCAGGTGCCCAAGGACCTTCTAACTGACTCGCAAGCTATGAAGCCTTCTGCAGACAAGTGATTTACAGGGGATGAGGGATGGTCCTGACCAAGCCCAGCACATTTGGGCTGGGGGCGGGAAAGCAGGGCAGTGGGACCTACTGCAGAAGGATGGTAGAGCCATTTTTGCAGTGGCCTTCCTCTCTCCATGGCATGAATGAAGTCAGACCCTGCAACTTGTTAACTGACTTCAATACAGAAGCTGCAGTGGATGTGAGGGAGGTGAGGGGGAAAGGGGTTGAAAGATTGCTGAACCCAAAGACAAGCTGGGGCTTTAAGGACAAGAAACCAGAACCTGGTGTATAAAGTGAGAGGGAAGTCATCAGTCATTTAAATCCCCTTAATGCAAAAGGAAGGGGCTCCACCACATATCAGACTCCTTGTCCCTTTACTTCTGACACAGCATCCTACCCTACCCACCTTTAGCAAGGCACTGAAGCATGTGCTTAACTTTTAAGCATCTGGTTAAACCCCACTGCCTTCCATGAGATGTAATGCCTCGCTGAACAGAGACAGGCTTCACATGCACTTGGATGCTTTTCTGAGCTGAAGCCATAGAGATAAGAGCATCAGGGCTCCTTCCTAAACCAGATGCTGCTCAGACACCTGCACACAGATGCCACAACTTAAGCCCTTACAGTCTAATGGGGAATGGTTTCTGTAGCCAGCCACGTGTGCTTTCCTCCTCCTTCTGGCTCCCTCTCTCATACCCAAAGGCCACCTCTACCACAACCGCTTCACCACTACGAATCTGGCTTCCGTCCTCATGCCTAGCACTCCCTGCCCAGTGCTGCTGCACCCTAGATGCACACCACGAAGTGATCAACAGCAGAACAATATCCGTGCCCTGCGGCTGGTGCTGGTTTTTTGCCACTCTGCAAGGGATGAAGCAGCTCCTGCAACAACCTAATGCAGCCAAGTCCCTCCTTACCATCGATGGGAAGTGAGGGCGTTTGCACGGACGTCTTCCTCCTTGCCTAGAGGAGGGAAGCTATAGCGTCAGTACGGTAGTTACACCATTGCTGCCATGTAAACACCGCTGCTGTGAAACAGGGCTTTGCAGGAAGAAAACTCATCTCCTACCATCGGGGGCTAGCAAAAGCCCACTGTAAAAAGGGCCTGAGTGGTCTTCCTTGAACCAGCTACTATAAGGCGCTCGCTGTAGTGCAAGTCGCATGACATCCGGGTCACAGACTGAGCGCCCCCTGCACCAAAGACTCCTTCAATGAGCAAAATGCCAAACAGGGACTTTTCAACACAGTCTGTGCAAAGGAATGAAGAAACCGTAGGCATCGCACAGAGCCACCAACACTAACTAATACCACTGACTCAAGTTACGTTCCAAACGCCTCCCTAACTCTTCTTAGCTCAACAGGCCACTCAGTTATGGAGAAGAGGCTCACCTCCATCAAACAGCAACACAGCACCAGGGGTAGGGGATTATACTTGCCAATGCCAACTTTCTACCCAACTGGAAGTACACGTGGGCTTTCAATATTTCATAAGGTGCATGTCCATTTTCTTAAGGCTCCTTCTCCCATAAGAAAGCCTGTGGCAATAAGGCAACTGAATACTAGCCGTGCGAGCCAGACAGCGAAGCTTACTCCCTCTGCACAGACAACAACTCGGTGCCATGAAGGGGAGGGAATAACCTGGACTCTTCAAAGAGAGCAACAAATTGGGGCAGGAGACCTCACAGAAGAGAACGGAGAGGGTCAAATTATTGCCCTCGCTTAGTGCACGATCCAGGTTAGCAGGTCTGATTTGCAGAGTTCAGGACCCCCAGAGCCCTGCGCATACAGCCAGGAGCTTACAAGCCCGTTAGATTTATTGTCCACCACCATAAGGCACTAGGAGGATGTGTGGGACTAGGCTGGGACCGGTGGAACCACCTTCTAACCCGTCTTAAAACCAAAAGCGAACCGAGTGCTCACGTGGAGTACAACTGTTTGATGGGGGACACAGTTCCAGCTCAGCTCCTGCATATAAAGACTCATTGCTGGCTTTGGGCAGTAGGGAATCTAACTATTTTGCACACCCTGGTTGGGAAAAAAAACCAAACATACACACACACTCATACTACCCAAATTCCTAGCCTAGGTGGTTTCCTCTCCTCCAAAGAATTGGTATTTGAACCACAGCCAGCGAATGCTTCCACGGGACGCAGGTGTGTCTGGGGCTTGTGCTTTAGATTACCAAACTGTGAGCATGTGTCACAGGCTATGGGTGGGAAGAAGGCAGGATAAAATGCAACAGCTCCCTCAACAGCTATTGTTAAGCATAACAGTGCATTGTGAAGTGTGCCCACAAGCCATCAGACAGGTAATCCCTGTTGTGGGCACCTGGGATTCCTGGTAATGGCAACGTCCCATCTATACCGACCGCGTTAGTGCAAAGCCATGCCCAGGAGCCCCTGACACATGCATGAAATGATGAACGCACACCAAGATCCTCCGTGCTACGAGCAGAATGCCTCCAGCACACAACATGCCTATATTACACCTAGAAACTGCCACTTTGACCAATGAAGCTTTTCTGAAACGTGAATAAATGGTACCCCATTTTTAGAGCCTGTCACTTGGAGACCCCCCCTACCACACAGCGTAACCTGCATCTATTTCCTTCCTTGTGCCTATTTTCGTAGCTCCCTCCAGTGCAAAAAAAAAGGCCTCCCGTGTTCCTCACCAGGTCTCAAAGTGTTTCTAATTCTCTTGCACATTTGCACCCATGTGCATCTGTCTCATATGCCTTCCACCTATAAGCAGCTACTGCCAAAGGCTGTATGGTAGCAATCGTTAATCGGGGCAGCCCATGAAGTCAACAGGGCACAGGATGCAGTATTCTTCCCAGCTGAAAGCCCTTCAGAATAAAACAGAGCCCTGTATTAAAATGGAGAGCGATTGCTACCAACCCTTTTGCAGATCTCGGACAAGATAAAACGGCTGTTAACCAGATGGAGACTTGAAAACATCCACTACTAGGAGGAGTGAGTGGGAACGGCTTGACGGAGAGGGCGTGCGTTGTAAATCCAAAGCTCTGATCATCTAATATCATGACGGGGAACATGGACAAATGCATGGAAACAAGCAGCAGCTGTGGTTGAGAATAGGTAGGGGCCAAAGCCACCCTGGTACTAAACACTGCTGCGTAGGGAAGTCACCTCAGGAGAACCCTAGAGCAAGCTGGGCATGAGGACAGGTGGGGCTGGGAAGCACAACAGATGAAACCGTGGAGAAGAGGAGGGGAAGAAAGGGCCTTTTGTCTACACTGTTATTTAAATACCATGTTTCCCCCCAGTTTTAGTGCACTCCAAGCTGCTTGGGAGCTTGTTCCTGCTACATGAGCTCTGGCCCAGAGAGCCCGTTCCCTCGGTGGAAAGCTTACAAGCAAAAATCCCCCCCATAAATCAAAAGAAAAACAATGAGAAAGAAGGAGTGGGGGAAGAGAGGGAACGAGCCCCCTTCTCCTCCCTCCCATCCCAAGCAATGGGAACGAAATGCCTGCTGGGCACTTGCCGAAGGGCAGACCAGTTTGTGTGCACCCATGCACCACGGGCAGGGCCTAATTGTTGTTCGAGTTGATCCGCCCGGCTGGGAAGAGGGGAGGCGGTGGCGGTAGGTGAGGAGGAGGAGGGAGGGTCTGAGGGAGAGGGTGAAGCAGCGGCAAGGAGAGCGAATGAGGGTGCTGTGTCGCATGAGAGATGCCGGCGCCCGAGGGTAGGTGAGGCGAGACGGCGCTCTGGGGAAGGGCCAGGCCACCGCCGCCAGTGCTGTTGGTGTCCGAAGCCAGGGGGTTGCTGACGCGGAAGCACTTCTCCTTGTGAGCCTTGAGCATGTTGGAGAAGCGGAAGCGCTGGCCGCAGACGTCGCAGGGGTACGGCTTCTCGCCCGTGTGCGTCCGGCGGTGGCGCTTCATGTTGGGACGGCTGGTGAAGCTCTTGCCGCAGATCTCACAGATGTAGGGCTTCTCGCCTAGGGGAGTGAGGAGACGGGGGGGCCAGTTAGAGACCTCTTTTGCCTCCGCATGTGGGTAGCCCACTCCCACCCCCAAAGGCCTGGCCTCTTCCCTCATCCTTCCCCTGTTAGCCAGGGGTTTTAGTCCCATAGAGCTGATGCACCATTCTTGCACGACCGTCTCTGCTGTGTTTCTCAGCTCAGACCTGAGAAAATACATATCCAAGAATCAAGGTTCATCTAACCAAATGCCATCCATGGTCTGGGTGGCTGAACGCTGCATGCTGTACAGCCATGGGGTCACATGCCATACCGGGCAGCTTCCTTGCCAAGCAGGCAGTAGGCTCCCAGGGCCCCTTCCCACCATGCTACCCTGCTGCAGAGAGCCCGGGCATCCCAGCAGCCAGAGCAATGGGGGAAAACAGCAGCTGGCCAGGAACCTATGGGCAGTGTGTTAACCCTGGATGTAGTCCATAGGCCACCAGTTGGACAACCCTGATCTAAGCCTAGTGGCTCACTAGGCTTAGTGAGGTGAAGGCACAAGAGTTTCTGCAGCCAGTGGCACCCAAGAAAGGAAGGTGGCCAGCATCATGTCCGGCTCCCTTTCCCTCCCCAGGTTGAGCAGCCAGACTCAGCTGGGCTGAAGGGAGGCAGCACTGGGCAGGAGTCTGGCTCAAGACACAAACTCAGCAGCGAAGCACGGGAACAGGTTACCCAGAGAGGTGGTGGCATCTCCATCCTTAACATTTTAAGACCCATCTCCACAAAGCTCTGGCTGGGATGATGTAGTTGGGCTGGTCCTGCTTTGAGCAGGGGGGTTGGACTAGATGTGACCTCCTGAGGTCCCTTCTCTGATCCTATGATTCACCCAGCTAAAGCCATAGTAAAATGTCTTATATACTCTGCCATAAAACCCCTCCCCAAGCATGGGCGTGGTAGGCAGAGCTGGAGGTCCTGTTGAAGATTAGCCTATGCTCCAAAAAATAAAATAAATTAAAATAAAATTCAGCAGGGCCACAGTGAGACCTTATCAGAGAAACTTAGAGAAGTAGGGCTGGAAGGGACCTCCAATGGTCACATCTAGTCCAATCCCCAGGGTTAAGTCCCAGGAGGAGCACTGGACAGCACAGTCAAAATCCCCAGCCTCAGCTGCAGCCAATACCCAATGCCTCCAAGGAAAGTGAAATAAAACCTTGTCTTGTGTAGCAACAGAGGGGCGGAAAAATCCTTTTTGGTGCCAGGTGGCAATCAGCAAAGCCCAGAAGCATGGGAAATACCCATAGAAGACAACAGGTCACCTGGATCATCCCCCGACTAGCAGCTGTCCGACCTCAACTTAAAGACCTCCAATGATGGAGACTTCATAGCTTCTTAGGTGCCTATTCCCCAGCCTTGCCGCTCTAACAGTGAAGACGCTGTTCCTGATATCCAATCTAAACCTACTTTGCTGCAACTTCAAGCAGCTCCTCTCTGCAGTTATCTTCTATATCTCTTAGACCCCGCTAACCTGCCAAATCAACCCATTGTCCAGTCAGAGGTGTTCCAGGCAGGGTTTGTGCCCTAGGCAGCTACAGGCTCTGGCTGTTTTTAGGACTCGATGGGTAGAGGTGTGGGGCTTGAGGCTCCTGGCAGCTGCAGGGTCCAGCTGCATGGAGCAAGGGGAAGCGTCCCCCTGGCAGAGTTGAGTCTCCTTCCTGCCCCCACAGAATCCCATGCTGAGCAACAATGTAAAACCCTTTAATCTGGCGGCAGCTGCAAGGGGACAGTCAATTGGGTTAGCTACTTGGCTGGGAGACACCTTCCCCTGTTCAATGCAGCCACAGCCTAGAGTTACTATGGGCCTTGAGCCCCACTATGGGTGCCTTGCAGTTGGGTGCCCCCCACCTCCCTTAGTCAACCCCAGGACCTCACGCCCTCCTTGCCCACCCTAGGCATGCTACTGTTTTCAAGCAGTTTGTAGCAGAATCCAATCTGCCCCAAAACGCTGGACTGAGGCAGGGAGCCACGCACAAGTCTGGAGCAGCAGAGACGGTCAGTGCTGCACGTCCCTAGGAGGTCCTCTGGGGAGATCGCAAGCTACAGCAGGACGCCCCTGGTACGTCATCGTTGGGGCAGGCATTATAGGAGGTCTCACCTGTGTGCGTTTTCATGTGCTCATCGAAATACTGCTTCATGTTGAAGTCCTTCCCGCACCACTGGCACATGAACTGCTTGTGTCCGATGTGGATGCTCATGTGAGAGCGCAGCTGGTACTTGTACTGGAACCGCTCGTTGCAATTCTGAAATGGAGAGGGCGAGGTGAGACGAGGGCAGGGACACGGCCGGGAGCAGGAGCGAGGAGAAAGGAGGGAGTTTTGGCTCTAGCGCACAATTGTTCACTTAGGCTCGACGGCAGGTAGCAGTTGCCGTGGGCACATGGGGCGCTGAGATGCCAAGAGCGCCAGCAACTTGCCCAAGATCCCAAAAGGAGTCAGTTGCAGGGCTGTGACCCCTCCAAATTAAAGCGATCCTGAACTAATTCAAGGAACTTGACTCAGTCTAAGGCGTCAAACCTTGAAGGTTTTACTCGGCTTCCTTAAGCTCTTGCTCCGCTTTCAATATGGCCTCGGTTAGTCAATCCATTATATTCCCAGTAAGTTTCTACTTAAGTAAATAACTATGAACTATAATCCCAGAATGCATTTCACTTGGGCTAAGCTAGTCTTGAGACTACAGCGTACCTCGGACAAATCACGGCTCTACTGATGTTCCAGCTGCAGACCGTGTACCAGAGTGCATTTAGCTCCAGCAAATAAACTGCATGCTGAGTTTGAGATACCGTGGTTAAAGCACAGAGGAAGATCACAGCCAACATGGGAAACTTCTGCTAGTCCGTCTGGTGAAACCAGGTCCTAAATAAGTGCCTCTGAGCATCTCATTTGGGGCAGATTTTTGACACGAGGCAAACTCTGTGATGCTGCTCCCCCAAGAGGTAATTTGCCTTCTTTATAGAAGTGCTATTTTTGCCTTCTGTTAATAAACTAATTGCTCGAGCTTGACGATCCGGAGTACCACGTCTGTCCAATACTGAACTCGAGAGTGTTTAATATGTACTGACCACAGGGGGGTATAGAGGTGCTGACCTAGAGACAGCAGAATTAAGAGACCGTATCATAGCCCATAAACCATGTGGACGGGACTCTGTTGTAGCGTAGCGTTTTTCTCCAGGACTGAGCAACATGACATTCAGGATAAAGCAAATGCATCTCTGAATCCTTGCGTGGTGCCTGGGGGGCAAAGTGTCTCTAGCAACAAGGACACTGAGGCCTGCCTTTGTGGGCGTGAAAGAGGGGTTTATTTATTTGCTTTGTTTTGGGGTTTTTTAAGGCATTTTTTTCATGCCCCAGGTCAAATTAGCCAGATCAGGTCCAAATCCATTTGAATCATTCAAGAACCAGATGTGGCCCTGCTACCGGCAAGTATCCTCCACCCCACCCTGCAGTTTCAGATACTTCCAAATCCTTTGAACAGTCATCCTAGGTGCAAGCCCAAGCTCAGAGGCTCGGGGTTCGGGCGCCCCCGAGTTCAGCTTGCCCTCAGCCCTACGTCAGCAGGAGCAAGCTAGGGAGGAGTCTCCCATTTCCATAAAGTCAGCATGTAGCCCAGATCCGCCCACTGGAAGCTGGCCGACGGGGGCTAACCATGAAGCTCTCACAGGGAGTCCTGTCTGCAAGCACACAAGGGTGCACCCTCCACTACACAGTGCCTTTTTAATTGCATTACCTCGGTCAGGGTATTAGCCCTGCCACCGTCGTGGTCGTGGCATTTCCTCTGCCAGGAAAGAGGTTGAGAAGTGACCGCAGATGATGGAGGAGCAAACAGACCAGGGTGATGACATGGGAGGGGAGAATTCAACAGACAGATAAGCGACCACATGTATTTTTTTGGATAAGAGAGCTGCTTACCAACCTACCGCCCATTCCAAAAACAGGGCATTCAGCGGGAATTATTTAAAACAACTGGAACGCTTTAAATTGTAAATGGCTAGCAAAGAAATATAAATGAATCAAGAAGTATAAATGCCTCCCAAAGGCCTGAACATCTGTCCAGAGAGAAAACCAAACAAGATACTATGATGTGGAGAATTAGAAGAATTCTCCCAAGGATTTCACTGGGAAAAGTACCTCCGCTACTTGGACACAACCCCCTCTAGCCACCCATCGGCCACAATCGAGAAAATGCACAGTAATAAACCTGGACTGGACACCTCCCCGCAGACATATCCACACACTGGACTATTACATCAGCTGTTTCAGGAAGAAAATGGAGAGCACAATTCTCAATAAAAGCCAAGACCACAACAGGCCAGGACACAGTTTGGCCAAGGACAGCAGATCAGATCTCCCCTTTTATGAAAAGCATATCATAGGATCTTTAGTATTCAGGTGGCATTAACAGCAGGTCATTTATTAGAGCTTATCCTAAAAAGACACCCATGCCATCAACAGCACAAGCTGCATCCTGGCTTGGCAAGTTCCCAAACTGTTTGGACCAATGGGGTACTTTTAACCCTCAAAAAATGTCTTGCAGGCCATCACACACCCTTACAATCTAACTTTAAATTTACACAGGGGAAGAGAGAGTAGCGAGATCTACAGCTACTTATTACAGCCTCACAGACCACCCTGCACAATGTGTGGACTGGACTGTGGGAATCGCTGATCTCAACGGATCTGTCTGGGATTCAGATAATGTCCGTCTGCTCTTTAATTTAATAGTTAAACTCAAAACCAAACACAGATTTATTTAGCGGGCCAAGGACCAGGTGCACCTGGTCTCATTGGCAGCAACGGATATACGTGGCCTTCCCAACACAGTTCTTCCACAGCTTAGAGACTAACCAAAGTATATACACTATGCACAGATAGACTTGTTACTTCTAGATTTCAGGAGTACTCCATCCTTTTAGCTGTCTGTCCATCCATCCAGGTATGTAAATGTACCTCACCATTGCGATATAAGAGCATCTCCCATAACTGAAAGGGGCAATGCTGCCATTGTTATCTCAGTCCTTCACCTTTGCAGTGTCTGGTCAAAGGAGTTTCAAATGAAACTGGGTGAATGAGGGTGCTACTGTAGGAAAAAACTCAAGTTCAGCCAGGGTTCGGTCCTGCTCCTAGCAATGTCCCTGAGGGCACAGCGAGGCTTAGTGGTGCTTGGTGGTAGAATTGCTCCTTGATGCTCTGGAGCTCCCACTCCACCAGCATGTGGAGAGGTGACGTTAACTGAAAAGCTGCACGATACAGAGTCGGGTGTCCGAGGATAATCTGGATGAATCGTGCCCTGTCTGGAATGAGAGCTTGGAAAACAGCCTTCATTTGCTCCTTCTGATGTATAGCGGGCCTGCAGAAGCTGAGCAGCTGGTATCTCATGCGGATATATTTCAGTGGACTCATATACTGCAAAACACAGCATCTGATGAAGTGAAGCTATACATACACACACGCAGATCTCCTTGGGTTAGTCTAGAAGGTGCAAATCTACCTGCCTTCTACTTGACTTCAGACCAACATAGTTAACTATGTCTCTCTCTTAAAAACACAGCCGCCTTCCTCACCATGAGAAGCAAGGAAGCAAGCACTGGGCTGGGTGAGATGGTCTGTCCTGTTGTGGCAAGTCTTGCTTTCCTACACAAGGAAAAAGGAGGCAGAAGCATCAGGAGCGGGAGGCTCTGGGCAGGCAGGTGGCTAAGCCTCCACATTCAGACAGGCTAGGGCAGGAAGGCTACCTCAACACCATTTACCTGTGCACCTCAGGGCAAGCACTTCACCCCACTCAGTGGAAAGCTAGAGACCTATGTCCTGTATGTACACACACAGATTTCTAAAGCTAACTTACATGGGGATAAGATACAATTAAGCTGCAGACTAGGGAGACTTACCTACACCCCGCTCAGCCCTGGACAGGTCTTCAAGCCCCCAGGCACAGTTAGTAAAACCCAACAGATTAAGAAGCAATGTGTTTTTTTAGAATGCATTAGAAATGCATTTGTAGCAGCTGAAAAGGAAGTTTCATCCTTGGATGTTTGGACATCAAAGAGTCATCAAATAAAATACAGGAGGGCTGCGATTAGGGACTAGAGCCCTGGGCTCCCGCCTCCCAAGCCACCGAGGTAGGTTTGAGATGCTCCATCTGAGATGAGCCTTAAGCCTAGCGAAGAGGGCACTCCAAGAGGGGTGGGAGGTCTGGGTTCAAATCCCCCCAGATAAAAGAAGGGGGCTAAACCCAGGTCTCTCCATCCTGGGCAAATGCTCTTAGCACCAGGCCCCTGTGTAAAGAGTGGGAACCTTGGCCCTCTGTTTTAAAACAGAGTCAGTCCAGCTCAGTCCCTTGCAAGAAGGGCACAGGCATGTCCTAGCACTGGTCTGCAGACTCCAAGCAGACACAAGTACCTGAGTGCGTCATCTCAGGTGTAGATGAAAACACTCTCCTCCCATCCTCAAAGCTTCCTTCTGTTTAACTTCAACGCGGCTGCATGCTATACGTGCTTACTTTACTAGCTCCCTGCACGGCTATCCTACGGTAAGCTATGGACACACAGCACGTACACCGAGGTAACTTACACTGGTGTAGGTTTTACCCCGATTTTCCCCAAGCTAATGCAAGACTGAACTCTCAGTTATACCAGCATATGGCTGTACTGTGTGGGCCCTCATTTCTGGTGCTGTAAAGCCCAGTTATACTGGTGCCCTAACCAGCGGTCCACACTTCCTCTCCTCTGTGAGCGCTCACCAGGCCCCCAAACCAACGGCATGTTAAAAGAGAGCAGAATTCACTCCTTAACTTTTTAATTCCCTCTCTCTCTTGTCTTCCTCCCCAATTGCTGCTGTCGCTCCTGCCCCTTCAGCTGGGCTGGATGGGGGCAGGCTCAGCCTGTGACAGCAGCAAGGGCAGGCTCCTTCACCCTCCCTGCAACCCAAGAGCAGGCAGGGGCAACTGGAGCTCTGTCTGTCCTTGAGACAACGGGCATAGAGGCAGCGGCAGGTGAGGGGAGATAGGGAGGGAAGGGGACAAGCCTCTGAGCATGGAGGGGAAGGGGCAATTGTTTAAAAAAGGCCCCAACTACTGTTCTTGCAATGTGGTCTGCCCACCCTGGTGCAAGGGGGATAGAGAGAGGGGTGGGGAAGGAAGCAGCGAGCAGAGGGGGTGAGATGCAGACACCCCAACAGCACCAGTCGCTGCTCCCACAAAAAGCTGGATCCGCTTCTACGATCATCTAGGCCAGTGATTTTTAACCGGTGGTCCACAGGCCCCTGGGGATCCCACTGGCATAACAAGGAGTAATGGGCACAAGTTGAGGGAGAGGAGGTACAGATTGGACATCCGAAAAAACTACTTCACAGTTAGGGCGGCTAGGAGCTGGAACCAACTTCCAAGGGAGGTGGTGCTGGCCCCTACCCTGGGGATCTTTAAGAAGAGGCTGGATACTTACCTGGCTGGACTCATTTGAGTCCTGTTTTTGTTTTTAGGGTGTTTTTTTTTGGGTTGTTCTCCCGCCCTGGCGGGGGGGCGGGCTAGAAGATCTACTAGGTCCCTTCCGACCCTGAAACTATGAAACTATGAAATGATGTCCAAGGGGCTCATGAAAGATGACCATGATCAATCAAAAGTATGCAAATGCCTACACTGACAGTTCAAAGTGAGCCTGCAGCTCCATTCGAAATTTCCAGAGGAGTTCGCAAATGGAAGAAGGTTGAAAACCACTGCTTTTGGCAGTCTCTGAAGCCCATCTTCTCCAGCAGGCTTTTAGGAAGAATATCTTCAACTCCTACAGGGTATGACCTCACTTCCACCTGACACTGGTATCCAAATGGCAAAGCCCCTGAGTTTGCTAGTCAGTGATTTGCAAATTCCTCAGGACCTGAGAAGCGCTGTGTTACTGAGATAAGTACCCTTTAGGTGTACAGTGCCTATAGAAATCACAGACAGAAGGCAAAGCAGTGCAGCAATTTAGGCTAAAAACCAGACAACCTATTGGATTCAGATGTGAGCATTTTGTCTTGCAGCAAACTTTAGAGATGGACAAGTCTGTGGTTCCACATTTAAGTACCTGTGAAGCATCTGAATTTACACTTTGCCCTGCAGCAATCACAACTAGTTTGAGTTAACTGCCCTTTAAGGATTACATATAAACATCTGTTTTGATAGGAGTCAAATCTTGGACTAATTAGCTCCGGATTAAGCTGGTCCTCTGTTTTTAGCTTTACAGACTAACTCATGTTATATGTTAAGGAAGTTTACATGCAACAGGATGTTTGACTATATTCTTCTATACAAGTATGGATCAAATCTTTAGGTAACCATGGTTTTAAGCAGAGACAGAGAGACAGTTAAAGTGCTAACATTATCAGGATGGAAGGTGCTAACCCCTCCACAAAGGAAAGGAGTTGCTATAGATACCTTAAGGTGGGAGGGAAGGTGACAGACAGAAGTCTGTGATGCTCCATTGAGAATGGATTATGGGTAAACCATGAGTAGGTGGTTTGTTTTGGGAAAAAATAAGAGCGGCTACATGGATCAAATCTAACCCCCCAACTGCCGTTTCTGGATGAGAAATCAAAAGGGATTCAAACAGAGCAAGAGAGAAGGGTCCTTTGCTGGTGTGAACTGGATCTGCAAAGCCAAGCAGCAAGGGAGAGCTAGAATCTCTCTCTCTAGCCCAGTTGTAAGTATTCTCATCAAATGCTTGTCAGTGTAGGTGCTGTGTGGGCACAGTCATTAATAAATGCAGGAGCACTGCCATCTCATACATGGTTGGTATTTGTTATAGTATTTTAGCACATTTATGTAAGCTACATGTGTAGCTGCCACTGGTCCCTAGAGGTAATAAAGGAATTTTGGCCTATTTACTGACATCGTCAACCAAACTCCAACCATCTCGCTTTGGGCGGGTCATCACCAGGGACTAGGGCCAGAGCTCCAGAGGATGAGACAAAAGTTCATTAACTTGAAGGAAGAGGAAGGTTCATAATTCTCTATCACCCAACCACTGGAAGGAAACAAACACCTTGGGATGGATGCTGGTTAGGCCCAAAGTCCTCATGCTATGGGAATACAAATATAATACTTGGATTGCTCCCCTGGATGGGATTTTATCTGAGCACCAATGCCTGGATCGGAACAATAACAGGACAAAATAAAAGCACACAAACCAGCCCCATGCATCCAGAGCAACACGCCGGGTCCAGTCACATGCACCAGGTCTGGGGCTGTGAACCGACCCCATGCGCCAGGTCTGGGGTTATGCATCAAGTCAGACTGCATGCACCAAGTCCAACCCTGTGTGCTGAGTCTGGCCATGGCACTGGTTTGATCCAACACGTGAAGCCCAAGGGCTCCCCATGGGTCCAAAAAGTTAGTGGCGGGGGAGTGGTAGCAGTGTTCATTGCTTCAGGGCTCCCAAAACTGTAGCGATTAACACTGCCACAGGCAGAAGCAATGTGAATTACCCTCAGCTTCCCTCATCGACCTGCTTCACCCGCAAAGCTGGAAGGCCGCCTCAGCCGGTGAGACAGTTGTTTGCTCTTCTTGCTTGTTCACACCTTGGGCTCCTTTTCTCCCAGACGCAGTACAGAGAGGTACTAGAACTGCTCATTCTGCGGCTCAGATGCCTGTCCACTAAGAACTGGGCAGAGATGCACCAAATCATACTGGACTGTGGATGCGGGCCATGTAGGGACTCCAGGAACGGCCAGCTGTCTTCAAGGACACCAAGATTAAGCAGTTATGGAATAAAACACCCCCAGGATACTCATTAGCCCTATTTACAAGTTGGCCTATGCCCTTAAGGCCTTAAAAGGAAAGCTGGTAACAGACAGCTGGGTTACAAACAGGGACCGAGATGCAGGACTCTTGTATTTCTTCCACAGTGCAGCCACGGCCTCATGCAAGCCTGGCAAATCGGTTAACATCTGGGACCTCAGCTTCCCTGCCTGTAGAGTAGGCAAGTAATCTGTGACCCACCCCAGCTACTCGGGGACCATAGCATGCTCCAGCCAAAAGCTGCTGCTCATTCAAAACCCCTCCAGTACAGGGGTTAGGATAGCAATGTCTAATTAATTATCACTATTTCTCAGGGCTTTGTTTCAGGCTCGGCTTGTATTTGGGCTTGGGGCCCTTGGCGTCAAAGAAAGACTGGTTATAAGAACTGAGAAAGAGGTGGGCAGGAGAGGGTGAAGTGGAGGAAGGCTTGTCATGAGTGGGTACAATCAAGGGGATCAAGTGTAATCAGGGGGGAGGCCCAGGCAGAGGAGAAGTGGTCACCCCCATGAGCAATGAAGAGGGGGAAGGGTCTTACCTCACATTTAAAAGGCTTTTCCCCAGAGTGCTGAAGAGAATGGACTTTCAGGGACATGCTGCGTTTGAAGGACTTCCCGCACGTCTCGCAAGTGAAAGGCATGTCCTTGGTGTGAGCTGAAAATGCAGAAGAAGGGCGTTAAGGCAGGACAGGCAAGGATCGCAGGAGAGGCCGTGGCCACGTGTCGGGCCTGGGGCGCCACCAGGAATGGGGCACCACTTGCTTGTTCGTGCTACATGAAGCCCAAGCCAAAAAAGACCAGATGGCTTACGGGGTCCAGAGCACATGCCCCGTTGCAGCTTTGAAACTCTCTGGGACCTGTGGCTGGGCTCGATTCTCAACACCAGCGCTGGGCTGGCTGGGGGGGGCAATACAGCTGTGGTAATACAGCTGTGGTGTATAGCCTGTAATGGTGGTGGGGCTCATCCCCACCACTCCAAGGCCAGGCTGTCCAGACCTGGCAATGCAGAGGGCTGTGTTTGTACCTGGTCAGGACCCCAATGGCAGTAGCCGAGTTGCAAAACAACACACACAAGCATGGTACGGGCTTAGGCTCCAGTGTGCCAGGGCAGCCGAGTACTGACTGTTTGCTAGCTGAGTTAACCACCAATTTCTCCTCCTCCCTCAGACCTTTCCTTAGGACACCCCTCTGGCACGATGCTCACACAACCCTCCATGCCGACAAGGTTTGCCGTCACAATTATTACACAAATCAGAGCCCTCTTGCTGTTTGTTGCCTTCGGCTCCCCCAGCCTGACTTCTGTTGCCACCTCTCTCCCCGTCAGGAAGCTCCTTGAGAATTAGGGACTGTCTTGCTCCTTGCATATAATATACAGCACCTAGCACACGATGCTCTAGCCTAATTAAGGTTCCCGTGTGCGATTACAATACAAAGAAGCTTCAAACCTGCTGTTTTTCTACATCCTTCGATCATTTCTGCTGGCTTCTGTTTTTCCAAAGAAAGAAATCACCCAGGTCAAAACATGAAGGGTTGCTCTATATGGAGATGTACTCAAAAATAGCATCATTGCAAACCAGAGACATGAAGGACATCCGTATTCCAGCCCACATACAACAGCACGGAAAGTCCTCTTCGTATGCTGCTGGAATCATCCCAAATTGAAACGCTTCTGCTTTGAAGTTAAAAAATTGACCCTAAATTATTCCAGCCTCCAATTCCCCCTAGAGCAGCAATAGGCACTAGGGAAAATTGCCCTTAATTGCTGAAAAGACACAAAACGAACACCCTTTTAACATTCTCACCACTGCAGCCCACAAATGTATATTGCCATGGCGAGTACAAGCTACCGGCAGCAGAGAAATGCAGGTGCCCCACATGGGTGAGGAGGAGCGGAGCTACTTTCTGCATGGTGTTAGGGTATTAGCAAGTGAGCTAGCTGAGAAGAGATGGGGCAAGGGAGACAGACTGATCGGAAAAAATGGAGATCTTTTTGAAACAATGCACGCGCCGTCTAGAGCTCATCATCGTGTCACCTTGCTACTCCTGTATTCTCGTACCGTTTGCATTCATCACCCTGTTTTTGTGCTGCTGAAAAAGTACCAGAGCTGTCTACAATGTCACTTCCCTGTACTAGTGAGAAAGAGAAGGTGCTTTAGCTATCCTCTCTCCATAGACCCAGGTCAAAATTGCTCAGTAATAAAGAGGGGGGGTTTTGCTAATTAACTGCTTTGAAACCTCAGCCTGGAATCCAAGGTCCAGCTGGGTCTTTCTTTCTCATGTGTTAAAACCAACAAGTCAAACCTGGCTTCCTCTTGCTCCCCCGCATAGCTTCAACCCCTGCTGTCCTTCCTCAGTGGTGGAAGAGAAGACCCGGACCCTGGAAATGTCACTGAATTGACAATCCGGTTGAAGCAGTGGGAGAAGGGAAAGATCCTACGGCCTCCACTCGCAGCTGTTGGCTGTGCTGAGCAATGCACAGAAAACTCAGGTCTTCCTTAGTTGACTAACTCCAGCTAAAGAGCCATAGCTAAGAAAGTTATTTCGGCAGGGTTGCTTTTCAGAGCACGTAAACCTGGCCACAAGCCATTAGGCAGCTGCATCACAAGCTGTATTGGAGACCAAAAAATACATGCTAGCTCATCACCTGTCTGCAGTAAAGAGTCATCTTTCTTCTGATGCTGAACAAGAAGCTCTATTAGAATAAGGGACACTGCACCCATCTCCCTACATCAGCCCTAGAAAAGACACTGAAAGTCCTTTCTAGGCATGCTCTTAAGTGGCGTATCTAGTAGGAGTGACAGCCCCACAGCCCCCAACCCCAGGACAAAACGCCCCCACCACACTCACCGACCATGTGTTTCCGCACATGAGCCATGGTGTAAAATTTCTTCTCGCAGATCTCGCAGGAGAACTTCTTCTCGGCATAGCCGTGGACGATCTTATTGTGTTCGTGCAGCGACCAGAGCTTCTTAAACCCTTTCCCGCAGGTCACACACTGCAAGGCAAGGAATGGGATAAGAAAGGCAAGAACGGTGGAGAAGCGGGGAAACGGCCTGGGAGAATGACCCGGGATGAAGGACAGGCAGCACCATGGGATAAACTGACACCTCCCCTTGGATAGTATCATGGGAAGTGGGGTGCACACACAATGACCGTGCAAGCGTTATTCACCTGCGCACAAGACTACAGAAGGCCAGTGCTCCCAATGGGGAAGGGCAAAGCATGGAGAAGACAAAGCCCTGCTCCTTTATACCAGCCACCAGAGCTGGCTGGTCCCCACAGGGCTTGTGTCTTCATAGGAGGATCAGGAGCAAGGGATATCCCACATCCTGCCCCCCTCCCACCTCCGTGGAAAATGTTGACACACGAGGAAAAGGTCATGATTTTCCATATCACATGTTGATTTTTGTTCACTAACAAGTTAGCGGCCAAATACTTGGCTCAGTTAATGGAAAACTCCATTTGCCATCGTGAACCCTCCTGGAGGACAGTTTTGCACCAGCCTAGCTTTGGAGCAGGCAATATGGGCTGCTTGCACACTACGTCTCGGGTCCAACAGACCCGGTTGTAACCCTGGTGTGGTTGCGATGAACAAGACCGAGGGTGGGGGTAGAGAGAGAAGTGGGTGAGTGGTGGCTGGGCTGTGAAGATCCCCACTTTCTACATCCTAGAGAAGGGCACTGTCTCTTTTACTCAGACTTAGAAGCAGATGGCTATAATAACCCATACAGCAATCCATGTGGCCGGGGACCTGGTATCCTACAGCCTAGCAAGCCTGTGATGGCCTCTAAGGGGACAGACAGATGGACACGTCTCAGTACAGTGTAATTTAGGCTGTTTCTGTACACCAATGTGAACCCAATTCTTTCATGGGAAAGGTCTCCGCCAGACTGGGCAAAATCACCTCTGGTTAGGGGGTTTGCAACATCTGCCAGCTACTTTTTTCTTTTTCTATGCCAAGTGCGTCAGCTGTTCATGCCTGGAAACCAGCTGTGATGGGAAGTGTCTTCCAGCCACCGGTCATGTACAGCCAAATCAACCCAAAACTCACTGGCCTGTATCTGCAGGGGAACACCCAAACCCTTTTGTCCAGGACTGACTGGAGCTTCATCGCCGTCATCCTTGCTTTGAGCTCACAAGGACTGAGCAAATCCCAGACAGAAGCAAATCTGGCTGGATTCTGCCTCTCTCCCTCTGTAGCTTCTGGATAACACCATCTTCTCTCTCGGTGCACGTGTTACAGGACTTCAGGAATACATCAACTCTCACCCTGGCTCAAGACCTACCATCACAGCAGCAGCATCCCAAAGATGGGCACCAAAGCATTGGTGTCAGACCCAATACAGGAGCAGAATCACACAGGGAAGGGAATCACCAAGACCGTCTGCATTACCCACCTCTACGGAGCTTCCCATTGTATGTTTGTGACCCCCCTGATCGAGGCTCCTAAACTAACGCAAAGCAACCAAAAGTGATCCTGGACGTGCTCAGATGAACAAGTGCTTCAAAATAACAATGCTTAGTAGATGACCCACTGTAACTTTCATCTGTCCGCTCTACACCAAGGTTAAACACTGGTTGCTTTAAACCGGTTTCATTCAAGTTTAAAGTTACAGAAGATGATCTCTGCTATACTGGGGTAGGAGCAGGGACCCAGCACGATTACAGTAGTTCAGTTGACGCGTGACCTCAGATGATATATCTCTTCCTTCCTCCCTTCTGAAAAGGTTCGTGGTCTTACGACTGTCCACTGCCAACGTGGTATAAGTGCTTAGTGTCTGCCTAGGCTCGTCTCTGTGTTGCAGCGAGCAGAGAGCGATTACCTCTATAATCTTACCATAGGGCAGCCGGCAGGTCTTAGCCCTGTCCAGAAGCAAGCACGGCAGTCAGGATTTCGCTAGCTGAGGGACTCGTCGAGAACCAGGGTGTAAAAAGCGGAGGACAAGCACCAACAGCAATGTCTGTTCTTGGCAAATATGTGGATTTGGGGGTATACAGGAGCTCAGACTTCCCAGACTGCATTCCTACAATGAGCCTTATTAGCGACACGCAGGATTGTACAACTCCGCTGGAAAAGTAGGACAGCTCCAAAAACCAAAACCTGCTATAATGAAATGGCAGAGCTAGCGTCACGCTTTGCAGGCATAACAGCTTTGAAAAAAATTCACGCGATTTGGAAATATTTTCTAAAATATTTCAACAACAAAACTAGACTCTAGTTTTAGGAGGTTACTGCACTTTAACATGCTTCTCCTATCCTCTGCTATCCCTCCCTCTCTATCCTTCCTTTCCCCTCCCCCCCATTACTTATTATAGACGCGTCTCTCTCAGATGGACGGGTTAATGTAATTGATATGCATGTGTTGCTGCATTGCAATTAAAATCAATACCTTTTTTTTTTTTTTTTTTATATAGACAAAGCAATGTTCACTCC